GCTGGGGTCAACACGGTCTCGAAATTCAGATCGATGCAACGAGCGGTTTGTTTATTTATTATTATTTATTATATTTATTATTGTTTATTATATTTATTGTAATTAATTAATTAATTATTATTGTAATTAATGACGTCATTTCAGGATGACGTCATCGCCCCGGCGGGAAGCACACNTTATTATTTATTATTGTTATTATTTATTATTGTTATTATTTATTATTATTAAATAAGTAATTCAGGATATCGATAGAATATTATCGAATGCAGATAATATATTGAAAAATCAGAATTTGGCTGGGGTCAACACGGTCTCGAAATTCAGATCGATGCAGCGAGCGGTTTGTTATTTTTATTTATTTGTTATTATCTATTATATTTATTATTAATTATTATATTTATTGTAATTAATTAATTAATTGTTGCAATTGATGACGTCATTTCAGGATGACGTCATCAACCCGGCGGGAAGCACACAGTCACTAGTGTCTCCAAATAAAGCCGCTCCGCCAGTGCCTCCAAAACCGTCATCTGTATCGGATCATGAAAATAGCACGGGAACTGGAGAGAGTGTCAGACTGAGAGAGGTTTATTATTTATTATTATTGTTTATATTTATTATATTTATTATGTTTATATTTATTATTATATAATAATTATTATTTATATATTTAATATTATTTTTAGCCATATTCCCCGTCGAAACGATCCTCAGCACATCGACACCGCCATACAATCGTATCACTGCCTACAGACTCGTATTCCGAATTTAATAATAATAATAATAATATGTATAATAATAATATATATTATAATAATAATAAACAATATGAGAGTGTTTATTCGAGAAGAGAAAATAAATGTCAACTGTGCTCAAAAACAGTGAGTTGATTCATTATTATTATATTTATTGTTGTATTTATTATTGTTATATTTATTATTATATTATTTATTATATTTATTATTATATTATTGTATATATTAATTATTATATAATAATAAATATTATGAATAGGTGTATTTGGCTGAGAGAATTCAAATCGAAGGATATTACATTCACAAAAAGTGTTTTAAATGTGGCTATTGCGAACAGCCGTTGAGGTTGGGTAATTGCGGACAGGACAGNTATAATAATAATAATAATAAACAATATGAGAGTGTTTATTCGAGAAGAGAAAATAAATGTCAACTGTGCTCAAAAACAGTGAGTTGATTCATTATTATTATTTATATTGTTATATTTATTATTGTTATATTTATTATTATATTATTTATTATATTTATTATTATATTATTTATATTATTGTATATATTTATTATAATAATAAATATAGGTCTATTTGGCTGAGCGAATTCAAATCGAAGGATATTACATTCATAAGAAGTGTTTTAAATGTGGCTATTGCGAGCAGCCGTTGAGGTTGGGTAATTGCGGACAGGACAGGAACCTGGGAGGGTTTAACCCGAGGTTATTATTTATTATTATTTTTTATATTTATTATTATTTATTATATTTTTTATTATACATTATTATTAATTAATTAATATTATTACAGATTCTATTGTATGCAGCATATCAACGTTCCGGTGCCGGAAAAGATAGCGAAAATCGAAAAATTGGATGCAAGAAGCTGCATGAAGCCACCGTCGACTTTGAGAGGTTTTTTATTTGTTATTGTGTTATTGTTTTTATTATTTATTATTATTTATTGTTATTTATTATATTTTTATTATATAAAATAATAATAATAAATAATTTAAGTTAAAGAATATCAACAAATGACGACGTTGTCTGCTGGTAATACACCAGTCACGGGGCCACCTGGAACCTCGAGGGAGCGGTTTGAAATGGTTAATTTATTATTATTGTTATTATTATTTATAATATTTATTACTATATCCGAGGTTTTTATTATTTATTATTATTATTTTTTATATTTATTATTGTTATTTAATATATTTATTATTATTTATTATTTATTATTATTATTATTTATTAATTAATATTATTACAGATTCTATTGTATGCAGCATATCAACGTT